ATGATTTGCATCTAGAAAATAAAAAATTACATCATTATCATTGAGAAGAGCAATTGTAGTTCTTTGATATTCAGCTTAAATATGAACAAAGGTGACAACATATTGTATCGGATACCTTATCATACAAATCTAACTTAAAATCAAATCAAATGACAAGGCAAAGATTGCTACCATTAGTAGTATTATTTCAAAATTAATGAAAGGAGTAGAATGAAATGAAGCTATACATCACAATATTTATTTCAAGATGGTTATCGATCAATCAAAGATGGACAATGTACAATATTAAAATTATCATTTCAATGATGGCTTGTTTTATTTTAATAAGCAAATTTATGTACCTGACAATGTTATACTTTTGACGCCTATATTTCAAAAAGGACACAACATTCTAATATCTAAATACCTAAGGTGTAAAAAGACTTTAGAATAGATATCAAGAATATAATTTTAGGCAAGTTTCGATCATAGTACTTGAACTTTTGTGCATTCTTGTGAATCATGCTAATATAACAAAGCACATAATATAGCATCTTCTGAGTTATTATAGCTGATTCTACTACCTATAGCACATTGAAAGTAGGTGATTATAGATCTCATAATGTGTTTGCCGCAAACGCCTCACAATTATACTGCGCTTACTATCTTTGTGGACTAACTCTTGAAATAACTTTATTTAGTTGCAATGCACTCTGATATTGATGCTTCATCACTTACATGAATCTTCTATGACATTATTTTTTGTTATCGTAGATTATCTTATATCATCGTTTCAGTTTGAGATCCGCACTTTATGAAAAAAAATTGACAAGACTTATTCAAGCTATTAAATATATGACTTGCTACATCTACGACCTTTCATCTTCAAATAGATGGACAAATAAAGTGTACAAATTGGATCTTAGAAGATATACTATAGACATTAGTGACAATTCACTATAATGACTAGAATGAATATTTAATGTCCTTAGAATTTGCTTACAATGATAGTATTCAAGCAAGTACTAGTTGTTCACCATTTTTTTTTAATATTGATTAACATTTGATTATGCCGACAACTCTCTAATATTCTATTGACATGAATAATCTAACAATGGAGGAATTTATACAATAGCTTACAACGGCCTTGTAAGATGCATAATACCATCTCCTTATTGCACATAATCAAGAGATGCAATATGCAAATAATCATCAATAATTTAAGACCTTTCGAGAAAGTGATCAAGTATTACTTTCCAATGCCAACCTTTTATTTGCTACATCAATTCAAGTTCGTAAGCTAGCACCTCAATGGCTTAGACTTTTTTATATTTTTATAGTAATTTTTAATGTTGCATATTACCTCAAGCTTTCGCCACATATTCGGCTCCATTAGGTCTTTCATGTTTTACAGCTCAAGGAGTTTCACATTGAATCAAGGCTCTTTTCATATCGACATCAACCACCATCACTACCACTGGTTGTGATTAATGACCAACAAAAATATAAAGTAGATAATATTTTGAACCATCGCTACCTTTGTCATGGCAATAGATATCTACAACTTCAGTACAAAGTCCTCTGAAAAGATTATCTCATCCACGATGTAATGTAGGAACCTGCACATAACATCATTCATTGTCAAAAAGCCATTTTAAATTACCACAGGAAGCAAAACAAGGATGTTCTGTATTAGTAGAAGAAAATTAGTTGTAATAAGGCACAAATAGAATATTTTTATTATTTTTATATAGAAATATGTAGTTAAAGTCGTTTTTGAAAAGTTTCTAAAATTTAAGTTAAAATGGTGGTTCATATAGAACCTACCATGGAATCTTCTAGAAAGACTTAAGGCAATTATCATGATGGAACTCACTTCTATAATCTTCTAGAAAAGTGATTATTTTGGTGGAGCCTACCATTAGAAATATTTTACAAAGTTTTAAGATAATTGAACAAAGTATGAATAGGACTCATTGAAGACATTTGGACATTTAGTCAGGTATAGTTTTAGACCTTTTTTCTTAGTAAAGTTTGATTTTCTTGTTTCATTCTATTTGATTCTATTTGCTTCTATTTCTTTCTACTCAGTCTTGTCTTTTAGGTTCCATTCTATTTAGTTACTTTCAACTTTACTCTACTGTGCTTGGTCTTGAAACAAGACTAAAGACTAAAAAGACGTTGACAAGAATGAAGAAGATTTCACTCTTACCACTATATATACTCTTAACTAGGAGTTATATGACAATGTCCTATAGGACCTCCAAAACATGTTGACTTTGCAAGATACGTATCTTAACTTGCAAGGCAAATTTTTTATATGTATACCATACAAATAGATTGTTCCGCAAGCTACAAACACATGGTTAAATTATTGACCAAGTTTCTAACCTATTAATCAATTACAAACACATATAAAGTCAAAGCAACATTTATAAAGTTTTTATAGAAGGTATTCTAAAATTAACTTATTTTTATCTATTTTTATCTATTTCTACCTAATCATATAGATATTTATCAAAGTACATATATATACATATATATATCCATGACACACATTTGGCCAAGTAGAGATTACTTAACAAAACTATATTTCTTGTCAAGTAATCTTATTTCTAATAACTTAAACTACTATATATATATATATATATATATAATTATATTTTTTGACTTTCGTTATTAGAAATCAAAGTCAATAAGTTTTTTTTTAACAAAGATTTAAGTGGATAATGAATTTATAAAAGCTTTAAAAACAGAAGGTTTTTTTAGGTGATTCTTAATTTTATAAGGAATTTCATGAATTTAATGATAGATTCATAAGTGAATTTTTTTGAATTATAAAAAATATTGTTTTAAATGTAAATTATAAAATTGATTTCAATTCGATGATTATAAAAAAAATTATTGAAATCCAAATAGATTAGGATTTTCGAAATTAAATTTTGATGGTTAATTAGGATTTTTATGATTTTAAGCAATTATTCGGTTGAATTAAAATGATCTTTTTTTATAATTATATTTGACTTAGATTCTAATATTTATAAAATTTTAGAAATTAATTGAATAATGAAAAAAAGAGCTATTTTTGCTTTTAGATTGATATTAGGATTGAAGAAGGAGGACAACCTATACCTAAGTAGTTTAAGAGCTTTTTCTTCCAATTTATAACTTTAATTTTCTTCAAATCATATGTACTTATTTTTAATTAAAAAATTAAGAAGTGTATAAATTTTAAATTAATATCAATAGATTTATTAGGTTTAAATAGGACTTAATGAGTGTTTCATTAGTATTTACTAAGGATATCTTTATGATTATTTAAGATTTATTTAGAATTTATTTAAGATTAAATTAAAAAAAAAAATAGGATTTACTTATAATTTGGTTAGATTCAATTAAGATTTATTTGGAATTTCTTTAAGATTCATACCTTACAATGTCATATTAATTAACATAACAATTAGAATGCAATAAGTTAGAAACATATCTTGTAAAAATATAAAATATAGATATTGGATGTTAAATTCTAATTTGTTGCATACCTTCTATATAAAGAAGTCAAGTACCAAAGTCTTTTAGCAATCAAAAAATATCATAAATAATTTATAATAATTACTCATTTTTAAGTAAGTAATTAAAGATTTATTTAAGAATTTACTTACTAAATTAATTTTAAGTAGAAATACTATTGCTATGAATAGAATAAACTTTTTTTTGACTCAAAATAGCAAAAAGACAAGGCATTGTATTTAGAACAATCTAATCAAATATATAATTTTTAGTTGGAATTTTGATTAGATTGCAATGAAACAAATTGTATTATTTTTAGAGTAACATATTAATAAATAAATAAATAAACACATTTTAACAATAAGAGGATTAAAAAAGTGCAATTATAATAGATAAATATATATTTTTAAAATATTAATAATTACAACAATCAAAATTTAATTTATTTTTTCTTTAATTTTGAACCATGCATTGCTTGTCTATACATTAATATATAAGTTTATATGACTTATCAATACTAAAATACAAGTACACATTTAAATCAAATGGGATTTTGGGATTTATAAAAATATGTGCATATTCCATTAATTTCAACAATATAAGTTATCAATCTTGTCTATTTTTTCTATTAACATCTTGATTAGCTAAAGTTATTGCTTTTATTTTAAAAAAAATAGAATATTGATCATTTTCATTCTATATTGCTTTAAAAAATCTACTTCAATTTTTTTACATCACAAATAAACTTCACCATTTCTCTAAACTAATAAATAAATAAATAAATAAATAAAGTCCACCAAGCTTTAATAGACTGTTTTTTCTTTTCTTTTTTCTTTTTAGATTTATTTTTGGTTTTCTGACCAATTTTCATTGACTATTTCTCTAACTTTGATGCCAATAATGTAAGGTTTTAATTCAAAAACAATGAAAATCAATTTGTGTATCAATGAAATGTTACTAACTAAACACTAAATAAGCAACTAAAAAAATAAATGTGATTAAGATTAAAATAATAATAACAAGTGAAAAAACTACATGACTCGATATCATAATAAGGAAAACACACTTATCATATTCAAAAATGTCACACGTCCACACAAACAAAACCATAATTTTAGTGTTGACTTCATTTCAGTTCTGACCAATTCAAAGAAATGGCGGCGCTCCCGAGACGCCTGAAATCCTTCCCCCAATCCACAGCTGCCACCGCACCCCAACTCCAAATGACACGTGGAATTCTCGCAACCAATATCCCGGCAGGTTCCCGCAACAACTTATCCACGTGTCGCAACGTATCTAGGACACCAGCGCATCACCAGCTCAACCTGGTTCGGAGTCAGGGGTGCACTCCACGAGTCAGTCGTAGGTGTCGCACCTACTACCGACCCCCTCGGGAACGATGAAGATCCTGGGAAATGTACCTTCCAGCTTGAATATCTTTCTCTTTTGAGGATTTGAAACAACACGACCGTTCACGCCCTGGGCTGTGTCTGCGGGGAATCCCATAAGGTTGTTATACGTCGGCAACCTCTGTGCTGCGTAGTGCTCACAAGCGATCGAGACAGTCTTCGCTTGCGATTCTGTGACGTGAGAGAGAGAAAGAGATCAGTTTGGTTTTGTGGGTAGTTCCGCAACTATGGCCGCTGCGACGTTTATCGAGATCTTGCTCGCAATCTTGTTGCCTCCCTTGGGAGTCTTTTTGAGATATGCCATCGGGGTAAGTGATTCACTTATTGTGGACGGAGTAACGATTTCTTTGGTGTTGTAGCAGCTGTCTGTCTTCGACCTCTTGTGTTCATAGTTGCAACTGTGAAATGTTGTCTTGTGTGAGTGCTTATACTCTTTGAATCGGTTCCTCTGCAGATCGAGTTCTGGATTTGCCTTATTTTGACTATCCTGGGATACATCCCTGGAATTTTGTACGCGCTTTATGTTCTCTTGGTGTAGTCCCATGAGCAGAAGATCAACGACATGGAGTTTGTCAACGTCGTAGCCTGAGGTGGTCTTGTTTTCTATCGTGTGAACTGCTACTCACAGGTTCAGTCTGGTTCTGTGTAGCCATTACTCCTCGGGTTGTTTTTTTTAGTTTACATTACTGTGTAGAAGAAAACAAGAAGTTTTAAGGCATATTCCCGCCCCTAGAACACTCCATAGCTTGGTTAATCATCTAGTTATTTGCAGCGTAACTATGATGCGAGAGATGACTGAGAGGTTTTTGTGTAGAAATTGGGTGTGATCCACATCATGGTTGTTTCTTCTGCATCATGCACTGCTATATTCATCGGCACTGTGACATACATCTGTTTGTGAAATAAATCTTTGAACTTGAGATCAAGTGAAATGGACACAGTCTCGTAGACCATCCCATCCACTTTTGTGCACATTTATATGTAAATGCTTCTTAAGCCTGCCCACCGACATGTGCTGTTTCGTTACCTCGTACACTCGGTACCCACTGAAATGGGTCGCTAAATTCAGTACTATTGAAATCAGCATTGAAGTGTTTTATACTTTACACCATGGAATGAGATTCAGTGATTCGTGATACCAACTTTTTAGGCTAAGTCTTTGTATTCTTAAACTTCTTAATAGGTGAGTGTCGAATGATGTTTCTTAACCGCAATTATTGTTTGGTTTCATTTAATTCAGCGTTATTGTCTGTTAAATTGCTCGAGGTTGATTCCAGGCACAGGTGGTGGGGATAGACAGGCATGCATGCTTGTATATCATGAATTGTAGATTTGATTTGAAAAACATTCTTGTAAAAACGCGACTGAGACGAGGTGAGAATACTTTCTGAATTTGGACAAATATTTCATTTAAGGAAATTTCTTTATTAAAATTTATATACGCGGTGTCTTGTTTCGTATTTGTGATGTTGCAGCAATGGCTTAGTCTGACCAGTAGCCCGCAAAGCCGTATTGTTCATCGACCACAGAGATGAGCTCCCATTGTTAACGGAAGTGAAGTGAGAAGATTAGAAGACATGGGAGCTGGAATTTGGGTTGGGGTTGTGTCCGAGGTGCAGGCTCCCGTCTCTAGAGCGTGTTCGAGCCCGCTGGCAATACTTCAGGTGGGCACTTGGAGTAAGGCACAGTTGCGAAGAGATTGCGGCCAAATGTCAATGCTGTAGTGCTTGCGGGAAAATGATGCCTAAGGATGGTAGCGGAGCGCCGCAGCCACATTGAGCAGGTCCAGCGGCGATCGCTGCGGTTGGTCTGGGCCTGAAGCGGTTTTCGTGGTGCAGTTGATCATCACAACCAGAGTAAAATACTCATGTAATAACCATTGACGCAGCCAATGGCCATGTAAACCAGTATCAGGGCAGAACCCGCGATCTTCGCGCCCATAACGCCGGGTGTGATAGACTGGTTATCACACCGGTCTGTCTCAGTGCCGGTCCCGGGTTCAGACCCGGTTGAAACTCAAGCGGGGACAGCTCAGTTGGGAGATGTTTTTTTTCTTCTGTTTTTTTTTTTTTTTTTTTTTTTGTCCTTTTAAAATTGTTTCATGGCAAAGTTTTTGTGAGCCCACATTGACAGTATAAGAATGTGAAGTGTAACTTGAAAGAGGGTTGGGTGACGAGAGAGGTGTTGCCCATGGAAGTTTTCACGATGTCTTATGGTATCAATTGTAACTTACAAAATGTTGTAGTAATTGTTTTTCAATCCAAAGTATCATAATTTGTAACTCATCATTAAAAAAATTGTTATAAGATTCAACTTCAATGATGCTTTGAAAAGTTGAAAGATAGTATGTTCAATAAACAATAATATCAAAACCATATGAAAAAAAAAAAAACAAAAAACAAAAAACAAAATGATTCAATATTTCAGATTTTTATTATTCTAATAAAAAGCATAAAATATAGTAAATTAAGCATGAGTCAAGAGTTACAAATCAAATATGAAATATATTAACAAGGTTGATAATAATTTAAAATGGTTAAAAATAAAACTATTTAAAACTTGGAATAAATATCAAAACCTTTAATCCTGAAGTATTACATTGATTTGAAAAAACAGAAAGAAAAAATGCATAAGTAATTAAATTCAATTGAATTCAAAATCGTACTTAATATTTCAATTCAATATTTTTCAAAAATACTAAAATTGTATATATAATAGTACAATCTTTTTTAAACACTACATATAAGAGGTATAATTTTATTTAAGAAGTTCCTTATTCTATTAATAAAAAAATAGTTTGTAGTAACCTCATATTTTAATATTATTTCTCAAATATCAAATTAATTTTTCAAATTTACAATTATGATAAAGTTTTAAAGAGTTGGTATAACTAATTTAAGAATATATACATATGGAGTTATTAAAGAGATACCTCCATATTGTTAACGCAACACTTTGTAATCAATTGCAATTCTCTACACAAAGAGATTCTTCTTTGTTTGAAGTTGTGGAGGAGAAGAAAAGATAATGTAAGGCATGTGGCCAAGATGGACATAACATTAGGATATGTCTAAGTCAACATGAGTAACAAGATAAACGTGACATGTATCCACTTGGATAGATTGAATAGATGAAAATAGAGTCCAAAGAGCAATGAGTATAAAATAGGGAAATGAAGAGTGGAAGAGTGTATATTTATACAAGTTGAACATTATTATCTTTGTACTGTGAGTAAAAAAAGATGAACATTGATATGTGTGTTATAGCAGCAATGTTCACAACAATCATATGCTTATATCATTATGTTGTGTTAACAATATGGAAGAATCTTTTTAATAACATTATATTTATATTTATATATATATATATATATATAAGTGATCCATAATTTTACTAAATCAATCCATCCATTATGAAAAAACATATAGACTATCAGCCTTATCTACATCATGATTACTCTAATCTAGTTTTGAACAGATACAATAATGATTTTTTCAAAATAAAACTAGTACAATGATGGTCATGTAGCTGGTAATAATAACTATTTTTAATAAGATTATGGATATTACTTGTATTTCATATTATATATTAAGCTAATTTATTATTCACTTTCTATTATCTTATTATAATATGTCTATTATTGGATTTAGTGTTTAAAGAGAGAAAAGTGTCATTTAAGGTTATTTAGATTTTATAATAGATACTATCTCTTTTATGTCTCTTCTATTTGAGGATATTTTTAAGTGTTTTGAAGATATGAAAGAGAAGACAGATGAAGTTGCTTATAGCCAGAAGCATGCTGTTTGTAAGCACATGTCTAATAAAGATTGCATTCATTTTAAATATGATTAGAAAAAAATTTATATTGGATGATCATATCTCATTTGTCAACAAGATATAGTGAGCCAATTAATAGGATGTGCTTTAGGATTGCATACAAAGTATTTTCAAGATACTAAATAGTGGCACTTAATAGTACAAAATCATGAACACAACGATAAACATTATCATCTCTTATAGAATATGCATTTGCAAAATAACTTCAATATGTAGAGAAGGAGATGATAGCTTGTATGATTTCAATAGGTATACTACCAAAAAATATTTTGATTGCCATATGTCAAAAGAATGCTATAAGTCAAATAATTGCTTGTATTATATACAATAAGTGTCAAAAATTGTATGAAAGTGCACTTGATAGTCATACTCCTATCATCTCTCTTATAGATGCCTTACAGGATAATGTTTATTAATTAATTTATTAATATGATGATTAAAATAAGATAACTTCTCTTTTCTTTGCACATATAAAATGCGTTAATTTATCAAAGAGATACATATCTTTTTTTTGTCATGGACTGCATTTATAAAATAAATTGATTTAAAATGCTAAAGTTCCATGGAATAGAGATAATGAGTTTTAATACCTCCTTTACAATTTTTGTTTTTTCCTAAGAAGAGATATTTATTTATTTATTTATTTATTTATTTTAGACGTTGACTCAATTATTCCATTTGTATATAAATATTAGACATATATACATTAGATTTAATAGAGATTTGTAATTAATAAATACTATTAAAATTATTTTTCTACTTCTAATATTATACTTTGCATATAATATATTCAAAAAAATATTTTAACAAATTGTAAGAAGTACTTTGCTTCAAATATAGAAGCAGATTAGTCTACATTTCTAGAAAATTAAAACAATGTCTTAAATGCTTCTTTTGAAGTACTTTATAATAAATAGTGGACTATTCTTTCTACCAAGTATACTCCTACAATAATTAATGCGACTATCAAGTGCATGTAAAATACTTAGATATGATTAAAAAAAAAAAAAAAAAAAAAAAAAAAAAAACTTGTTTAAAGCTTGAACAAATGAATATCTTTATTTTAGAAGTGTTACAATTTCTAGAATCAAAGCTCAACATTCTACTCTTAAATCATATTTAAGAATTTCTACTAAAGTCTTAAGAAATGTACAATTTTTTTTTTATCTCAATTTTTTGAAAACACAATAAAGGAGATTAATTCACAAAAAAAATCAAAAAAGACTAATATATGCTACCAACATACCATTCTTTTTTTTTATGAGTGTTGTAAAAAGAATATCAATGTATGCTCTTATTCTTACCTTTGAATAGCTCAAGTCTACATTAGAGATTTTTGAAGTTAATTCCTACATAAGTACATTATCAAAGAAGTTAGGATTAATATGTAAGCATAAAATTTAAAATATGCAAGAGACTAGAGGAATTTTTTCTATGGCTAATTTTCATACTCAATATCATCTAGTACACACTATTAGTTTATTATTCCCTCTACTACTCCAAAATATATTTGTAAGTTGAAAAGACCTTCACATTGTCTTTAATGTTGAAAAATCTTTTAAATTATTACCTCTTTACTAATAGAAGAGAGTGCAAGCTCAATTATTGGAATTAGCATCTATAAATGTGCAATTAGAAAATCTAGCAATAAGTCAACTAAACAGCCAACCATGCATAGCACCTAACAATATAAGATACAATGAATGTACTATCAAGTAAGTGCTTCATAGTTTGAAGTTCTTGAAGCAATAGCTAATACTTGCAAGAATTGACAATGACAAGATTACAATGTACACATTCATTCTATTCAAAATCTAACTTTGTCACAAGTCTCTACCAATAAAACTCATTTATAATGAAATATATGTTATCCATGTATTATTAATTATTTAAAAATTAATTGATATGAAGGTGGTGACAAATTGATTTATTAACATGTAAAGAGGTAATGATTATAATTAAGTAAGATATAATCATTTGATTATTACACAAATTCAAGGATACATACATATATTTGACAAATTCATTTGAAGAATCATAAATACATATAAAGTAACTAAATGAAGCAAAATATTACAAAAACAACTTGTCTGTCATAAAATGCACACTCTTCATTCAAGTGATTTTACAAGATGTACAAGTATGCTTTCTGGTGGCTTGTAACCCACGCTTCCTCATCAAAGATTGTTTGTACATAAAAACAAAACTAAAATAAATAAACAGATAATAGCTAACATATCATTTTTACAATTAGTTTCTCATGGATAAACACTTGTTCATTGTAAGGCATTCGTTCATACATATCTGTCTATCCATTTATCTATCTATATACGTGTGTGTTTAAATTTGTATTCTACAACTACAAGTTTATTTGATGTTACAAAAATATATATGGAACAATGTTTTGTTTTTGAAGGTATAGGATGTGTATGTTCAAGCTTCAAAAGACTACGTATCTTATAAAAATGCTGAAAACACAGTGCCGTATGCATCCCCTGGTGTTTTACGTGGCTAACCCAACATTGCGTGACTTGAATTACTCTACGTAACATTCTAAGTTCAAAAGAAAATCGTAATCTATTGTGGCAGCCCAAAGAAGCGACTGCTTTGTTGTGACAACCCAATGGAGTGAATGTGCTTCTTCATTGTGGCAGCCCAAGCTTCCTCATTAAAGACTTTGTACGATACGTTTACAGTGTTCAGTTACATAGCAGTAAAAAAAAAAAAAAAAAAAAAAAAAAAGTTTTAGTGCTCGTGCAAACAATGGGTGTGACAAATTCATAGTACCTCTTTCTGTACCCGTCTTCGGTTGAGATCCAACGTTGTGTGTTCGAGTTCTCACCCAAGACGCTCTTTCAGTGACTGCACAAGATCGCAATTAATGATGTTAAGCTATGCACCACGAGGATGAGATTGGATTTAGAGAGAATGTCGCAGCGATGGCTGCCACAACAAAGAAGCAACTGCTGCTCACCTATACTTATTTGATTGTCTACGTTCTACTCTCTAGTAGTCAATCTTCTTCAACAATGAAAGCACTCAAACCAAAACCACACACGCCAAAAATTATCCTCCCGATGACACACTAACGAGCTAGTTAAACCAAAATTGATCATCATTGCAGAAAGATGTATTGTCGAAGGGTACAAGATCTTACCAAGACAACAAACACACCGCCCTCCTTGAGCGCAAATGGCTAATCCTTCATCGACCTCCGCCTCTTCAGTACACAAAAAAAAACAACAACAATTTCAAACAACGACCACCGCATCCAGAGCCACGGCATTTACACTATGTCAGAGCTGGGAGCACGAAAATGGCACTGAATCACCCCAACGACGAGCCATGGGTGAAAAGCGAGAATCATAGTGTGAAGCCAGAAACAGAGCGCGACGCAATAGGGAGATGGACGGTGAGATGGGAAGACAAAATCTACACTGGTCTCTGGCTACATTTTGAACACAAAAACTACGGTTTTCCAACGGGAGGCAAGAAATAGTGCCGACACCATCATTATAGCAATAAAGAAAATTAGGATAATGAATGTGGTTGATTTTCATGCAGTTCCAGTAGTAGATTAATAAATCCAACAGTCATTTTGTTTTCATGATGGTTAGAATGGGTGGGTCAATTTAGTAAAACCTTGGGTAACTTTAACATTTTTCTATATGTATATAATTACTTTTTACATGTATATAATTACTTTTTACATGTATAAATTTACTTTTTTATCTTTTTAATTTTTTGACATCCAATTGTATATTAATGATAAGAGTTTAATTATCAAAAAAAGCATATTTGGCTTTCATTTATGTGTATTTTAAAACAATGATTGAAAGATACATGTAATAAAATTTTACTTACATTCATTATGTGTGTAACTATATTTTTATCTATGAAATATTATAAAATTATTTATCTATTATTTTTATGACGAATAGATTGTAAAAATCTAGCTGGTTACTTATATATATATATGAAGTATATTCTAATATGATTTGAATTTTTATTTTATTTAAAATTATAAAAATTTAAAGAAATACAAACTTTAATATGTATTTTGATATTTATTTATTAATCAATTGGCAGCATTTTTATTATCATTAGTTACAAATATTTTTTCAAAATATTAAAAACATGAAATCTGAAAATAATATTTGTATAAAATTTATTTTCATTATCACAACCATGGCTCTATTGTTATTATTATTATTATGCAATATATGTTCAAGTGTAATTCAGAAATTGAGAACCGTAAATATTTTAAAATTAAATTTAAAACATGTCCCGAATGAACTATACAACCCACACCCTAAAATGTGTCCATCAGTTAAATTTACTATCACACTCCATATCATTATGTGAATCAGCAATAGAGTAATTTTAATGGAAAAAACATAAAGAAACAAGGAGTTGAGGTGTGGTCAAAATATACTTGAGGAGGGTCAGCCCTAAACGACTCACGTGAAAAAGAAAAAAAGAAACGAAAAGAAAAGAAAAGAAGAGGATGAGCCGCAGAAAGAGGAAGACGAATCCCATAAAGAGAAAGGCGAATCAAAGAATGAAAAGTAAAAGTAGAGCGCGTCTTGTCCATCGCAGGGAGCCGAGTTGTGGCGATGGCGATGGTGGCTTCGACGTCTCAAGCGCCCGTCAAACTTGCGCACGACGCTTGGTCCCCACCAATTGTGGTGACAGCGCAGCGACGTGCGTGTGCACGAGTGGAATGGTAACCTAGCTGGGTTTGCGTCTGATCGAGCTGTGTTGCCATGTTCACGGAGAAGGAGCGCATCGAGACAGAGATGGCGTTGCGGGGAGCCTCTGAGACAACGATCCCGGCGGGCCTCGCTTTCGTCTCGCTCCCTCTTACGCCCCCAGGTAATCCCCCGAGTGCGATGCATCATCGCGATTTTGGCTACGACGAGGCTGCGTCGTCTGTTTCCGCGGCTGGGTTGTTGTCGTCGTCCTCTTCGGTGGACCCTTCATACCCTCTGCCGTTGTTGTCAACAGCTTCCCATTCCGAGTCGGGATTACCTGCTTATGGGAGCGATCCTTCCGCTTTGGCTATGGAATCCCCGCGCTTTCAGTTTATTTCGGAGAAGCAGCAGAGCCGGATTTTGTCGCCTCACCCGACGCTCCTGCGTAAGCCATCTTTTCTGTCTCGGAGTCTTGCGCTTGTGACCCCGCGGGATGCCGCTTCTCCGCACCCGTTTAGTCGAATGTATGGCGGTGTCAATTCCACGGGTGGTGGGCTCGGAACTCCTAACGTGAAGAGAGAGGAGGCTGTGTATGGAGAGGACGGTAAAAGTTTGTGGAAGAATTCTGATAATTCGAATTATCAAGATGTGGGGTTTCGGGGGCTCTTGGCTCGCATTATGAAACCTGGGAACAAGCCATTGAAGAAGGTTTTCGTGCTTATCATTCTCAACTTGGCGTATTCTGCGACTGAGTTTGTCATCGGTCTTCTCACGGGCCGCGTGGGTGGGCACTCAATTCACAACTTGAGTTAGTTGGATTTCAATGTTGTTTGTTTCTGTCAATGTCAATATCTTTGTGCATTGGCCTCTTACATTTGCTGATCATCATGGCTTCTGACTTTCTGTGTTTCGCAGGATTAGTATCGGATGCGTTTCATTTATCCTTTGGATGTGGTGTGCTCACATTTTCTCTCTTTGCCATGACGATGTCCGACCGTCCACCTGACAAGGCATACACATTCGGGTACATTGTTTAGCCGTATTTCTGTTCTCTAGTTTGTGATCTGGGCTTACAGATTCCACAAATCCCCTCCTTTATTCCTATTATATTGAAGTTCTAAGCATGGGAAACTGGTTCAGGGTAGTATTTCGTATGATGCAAGCTGTCTAGGGTAGGTGTTGACACAGTCCTCTATGTTCCTCGTTTGCCGCAGCAGATAGAATAAACTTTGAAATTGAAGGGTAAGCATTCTTGAAAGAGTATAAGTTGCATTTACTCCTTGACGGTGGTGCAGGCACGAGAGGTTAGAAGTCTTGGCAGCTCTTACTAATGCGGTAAGTTTGACTCGCGCTAGCTTCTATTCTTATTGTCTCGTTTCATTAAGAAACTTCGCATAAATGTTTTCAAAATTCAGCATAAAGTCAGCATATTGAGTTTTTGTGAGGACGCTAGTATGGCTGGAGTGAAGATTACTTAAAGGAAAGAATTTGCATGTCTATATGCTTTCAGAAGTCTCGAACAAACTATTTCAGATTTCTTTTATAGCTAGAATTTATTGAATGGTCGTGACAGTGAGGTTCATGAGGCAGGTCCCTTGGTGGCAGGGTGGTTCAGGATAACAGCATGCTGTCTGTGTGCGTGGGCAGCTTTTCCTGCTTTTCCTCTCTTTCTCTCTTGCTGTGGAAGCGCTGCACGCATTTGTTCAAGATGAAGCGGAGCACAAGTAAATACACTTGACCTAACGCTCCTCTTGTTGAAGTCACTGAGGGCTGCTGGGACTGAAGCCGCTAATGCCTCAACCTATGTTTATATTCTGTTCGTCATCCTTTTTCTCTTTGGCAATTGGCAGGCATTATTTGATAGTTTCAGCAGTATCAAATCTTGTGGTCAATCTATTGGGGGTATGGTTCTTCCGAAGATATGCGCGACGAAGATTTGGTGAGTTATTGTCTTCGGAGTTCTTTCTTCACGTGGATCCTTTGAAGTTTTATTGAAGATTCTGGTTGCAAGTTTGTGCTGGGTATCTATTGGTGCGACTCTTCTCTTGCCTTTGAGGGCAGCTTCGAAGTCGTTTGCTGATGAAACATTTTGTTTGCTGAGAATCTGCCCACATGTTCCATTTATGTAGAACCGCAGTCTAACCTCCTTTCCTCGCGCAAGTGCTGACAGTAGCCACGATTGTGTGCTTAACTTTTGTGTAGCGTATAGAAGAGCGCAAGACATCAATTTACACTCAATATGTCTCCACGTGCTTTCTGATTCTTTCCGAAGGTGGGTTTAGGGTGTTACTACGTAATTGCTGATACCTGATCCGATGATTTAACACACTGAATGGCGTGGACCTTTTAGCAGCTTTCCTTCCCCGTACTAAAGAACATGGAAACTTTATGATATCATGACGGCTGTCTCTATGTTCCAACATGCAATTATATACGTTAGAAGACTTCTACAATTTGATTTCAGCATCTTCCAACTTTTCATCTAGATTTATTTTAACGTCTGAATTGTATGTAGTATGCTCCTAGTTAGTCTTATAATGTCATTTCTACTGGTGTTTTGGCAGTGCGGGAGTCATCTTAGCATCTTGGCTTCTAGCATTAGGGTGAGATCTTTCAACCCTCAATTGTTTTGCATGCCATAGAGTTGAGCTATAGTTTGTAGAGTATTCATTAAAGGCCCAAACATTTTCATTTCCACAATCCCATCTTTTATTCTATTTTATTGGTATACTCTACAGTTAGGGAAGGGAAGGTCGATAAATGTATATGTATTATTGGAGTTCAACGAAATGAGACGAATATTTAGTATCCTTGTATCAACCCCCATCATTATTCTTCTCTACAATGACAGGGTAACGTATGCCGAAACACTGTGCCACGGATTAGTCGCAGCAGTCGTCTTTTATACGGCGATGCCACTCTTTCAGGCATCTGGAGCTATACTTTCACAGATGGCTCCTTCTGGCACCACAGCTGCTGCATTGAATAAGTGTCTCCGTCAGGTGGGATTTTCTGTTTCCACGTTTTCAGTGCATGCAATGATCATTTGTATCATGAGGATTAGCCTATCTTGTATATTCTAGTATGTATATATATATCCACTGAGGGCTAGTGTGTCATGCAGTGTCGTCAAGGGGCTTGAAGTGAATAGCTCAACCGAAATTATCTTCTACTTACATTGCGATTGTCATCTTTGGATTAAGATATGTTTGTTCATAGTCTCATGTATTAAGACTGGTTTTGGACGGTACCAGGTTAGGATGCTGGATGACGTGATGCAGTGCTACAATGCTCGATTTTGGGACTTGGTGCCGGGCTCTATTGTAGGGACGTTAGTAATGCAGGTAAATTTAGGACTCTAATAGAGTGTTAATATGAAATGCTTAGATACTTATTGATGCTTTGTGCACAATTTTTTTTGTTTACCTGAGTATGACTACAACTCTCTTTTCCAGGTGAGAGAAGGAGCAGACGAGCAGAGTATACTGTCTACTGTACATAGCATCTACAATGATATCGGAGTCAAGGACCTTACTGTGGAGATCGAGATTTATGATTAGAAATGATATTTGACACTAATCTTGGTATGTGCTGTACATCATTGGAAGTAAATGAATGACAATAGAATTGACCTGACTATTGTCACTATTGCTTTTTCCCATTTCATGTTCATAACATGAGGCTGGATATTTTCAATGGTTTAGAAATTGGGGAATTGGCGCTTATGACAAAGCGAGTCACCTGTTTCTGGGCATTTTACTCTTTGAATCAATTCCACTCAATTCAAGGTTTTTAGTTCCGTTTTTGTGCCACGTAGGTGGTTATACGAATCAGACTCAAGGCCTAATGCACAACCCTTGTTAGTGTGTTGTTCCACTAGCATGCTTTATCGTCATTTCTTAAATGAACTTTTTAAGAGGGTTAAAGACATGTATGGATATACAAATCAGAACAGTGGATGGAACTTGTTTCGTATTGATATAAACCAACATCGCAATTTCGTTCCACTTCGTTGCAAAGTTCAATTGTGGTTTTGCTCAATTTAGAACTCAGTCTGTTGACGTCCCCTAAATTAGATGGTCAATCAGGCAACATCCGTGTTAACAGTCAAAAACTATGACACTTATCAAGTCCAACAAACTCAAGAAACTAAAAGGTTCTCTCTCCGTTTACAACATAGGTGTCAAGTTTGCATTAATTTTTTTGTCAGCAAATGTAGATTGTCATGTAGATTGTCTGCAAATTCACCAGACATGATAAGGCTATTAAGTGTTGAATACATTAAGGGTTTTAGTTCTCAACCTACTCTGGGCCGACTTATCGTCTCCACACAGCAACTCTATCTATTCTTCTGACTCGGAATAAACTACGTGATGTAGAAATTGATTATGTAGAACAGACCATTCCTCTAAGAAGAAACCAAGGGCACATTTGCTGTGTGTTTGACTTAAATAAATGCATCTACTAAAAGCTGTGAACTCCTTCCCTCACCATCAACGTAAAATTTCCTTACTTAAACTTCCGATGGTTCAGGATCTACCCAACGACCATGCTCCTTGATGAGCCCAATAAGTTCATTAGTAGCTTTCTCCATGGCGATCCCTCTCCTGACCACTTCCTGCAAATTCAAATAATCTCCAGGTATGATTTCAAGCTAGTTAAGGTGATGGGCCAAAAAAATCGCATTGAAAAGTGAAAAAGTATATTATACCTTGCCGACGTAGAGGTCAATTTTTCCAGGAGCGCCACCGACATATCCAAAGTCCGCATCTGCCATTTCTCCAGGACCATTCACAATGCAACCCATAATGGCAATCTGCAAAAGAGATGTTACAACTAGAATGTGAGTAAAAACCTAGAGTGAAACAAGAATCAAGATCGGTACAGAGGGTTACCTAGTCATTGTGATTGAAAGATAATGATTGTAAGAGAAAACTATTAAGACTAAAATGCTTAATTGTTATGAATGCAGAACACGTATTCCCTGAATTCGTTTTTTAAAAATCAGATATGAGTCTAACAAGTGCAGTTAAACTTCGCGTACCGAAACACCAGGTAAGTGGTCCGTCTTTTCCCTAATTTCCGCGCTTACATCCTGAAGATCGAAGAGCGTCCTTCCGCAAGATGGGCACGACACATATTCCTGTGTCCAACAATTCATGCTATCAGAAAAGATCGAAGTCAAACAGAAATTCACATTTATGCACGCGCAACCAGAGTATAGAATTAGACCAATGGCTTAAAAAGTACCTAACCCAGTGCTAAATAAAATTAGTTCTTTTGTTTGATTTCAATTAGCAGACACCTGCGCTTTCATCTTGATTAACATGTTCAATTTAGTGCTCAGCTTGATCAAATAATATTAAATACTTCGCGATGATGGGGATCATAGTTGGTTGCATTAAAACAAAATCGTAAGGGAAAAACTGCTCGACAGAATATTTTGACTCCAGGGTCCTCCTAACAGGAAGTTTGAGAGCTTACTGTCTTTGTGTTCCGCATCCGGCATCCCTGAAGCATGCCAAACGATGTATTCCTCAGGAAATCGAAGTCCAAATCAGCTGCCTCTAACAATACCCCGTCTCCTAGGCCGTCCACAAGCATAGCACCAGCTTCACTGCCTGACTTGATGACCAAATCGTCCCTGCAAAATGTAGAATTGTATAAGAACCAGATTTGAGGGGATAATTAACCCCGGAAATTGTGGTAGACTTTGTTAATGGAAGTTCCCTGTGAACTTTTTAAAAACAAATCAAATTAAAATTGATAAATCAGCATTCTGGTGACTAATTTTAGTTCAATCCACGTGGAATACCTGTGAGTATTTGCAGGGAATTTAAGATGATGAATGACTGGGAAATTTATATCATTCGTTTGTAAATATTCAAATAACCTGCATAGAAACAACAGAAAACTAAAGATGGGTACATGTGTGAAGTGCTTCACAAATCCATACTAGTGCATTCTTCATAGTAATCCATACAAATCCAATAGAACCAATGGCATCCGCAGTATAATACATATAGCTCAACGCCAAATTAGCAATAATAAAAGCTATCGGTTTAAATAAATAGGCAGGCGTTGCACGGAAATGAGGCATGACATGTTTCCAAAGTACACGTAGGGCTAGAACTTGCCTTCGTGACGCATGTACACGACTTGACTTCTCATCACCTTCTGGAATGTACAGTAGCAACATGATGAGATCCAAATCCTTCAGTTTAGCAAGCTGTTCTTCAGGTTCATCTCCACGAAGAGTCACTGCAAGACGAGTACCTGAAGACGTATATGAACGAATTAGTGAAGACATGCAATTCACGAGATTCAACTACTCTTAATCTTGCCACTCCTGCATGCAACTAGTATTTATCTTTCGCCTTGTGTTATAATCAACAGGTACAAACCATGGATTAATTTTGATTGTAAAGCATAGGACCAAATGAAACTTTATCGACTACCTGCAGGCAGGTTTTCATGAGCTCCAGAAATAATTTCATCGAGAGTAGCGAGAGCCATAGCATGTGGAAGAGGGTTAGCAAGTTGCTCAGCTAGGGGAGTCAGCACGCCTATTCCGACATCTGTCAATCTCTTCACAGCGAGTCTCTGCATCACATGAGAAGAGCGAACATATAAACAGAGTGTTGTAGGTCGCAAAGCACCATCAGCACTTGAATGAACAGCCCAATAGCAAACGGACTGCCTACAATACGAAGGCATTAACTGAAAGTTGCTGCACTGACCGAGGCCCTGTCAGCAACCTCTGGCAGCTTATTCAAGAGTATCGTGTCCACAGTAGCTAAATCCTGCACATCAAAGGCAAACATTTTGTTCACACTTAGCAATACTATGAGACAGGTTGTGTTCCAAGCGAGATCTAAAGCACCAAAATAGCTCAAGAATGCATTCCAAGAGTGTAACAATGTCAACATAAAACATGAGATATTGGATCGCCATCTCATTCACGGACCATAATTTCACATATGTTTATAGCCATACCTTATAAGGCATACCGATGATCAACTTTGTAGCCAGGTCTCTATATAGAACTTCTGGATTCTGCATTAAGGGGAACAACCGCTTGATTAAGAAATATAGACACAGCCATACCCAGATGAGTTAAATCCACTCCACAACTACCATATTTTTCTTCTCCAGATCAATGTAGGATTTCACTAAGAAGGACCTAAAAACATCTTCATGTGAGCAGTTACTAGCGCATTCTGTAAAACGCTATTTCAAGAAAGAAACATACCTTCAACTGATCTAACGTGACTGACATCAGAACAGAGCCATCACGGTGCAGAACGTTTCTGTAGTCCACCAACTCTCCCTGTTCAGGATCAAACCAACAGATTTCCGGTAAACGACTCATCGAATATTAATTAACGAATCTTTTTTCAACGCTTTTTCATGTTCTTCAATCGAAGGTGGTCCTAAGAATCAGAACATTGCCGATTACGAATTATAAAAAGGAAACTTTAAAGAACACACAATCAATTAACCAACTGCAAAAACTGCATAAATCATCACGCAAGAAATCACCACTGTTGAATTATCTGACGTCAAAGCACAGCCTATAGCAGCACAAGGTCTTGACTAACCTCCCTCTGCAGTGGAAGTTGGCCGGTCCTTCGTTGGAAGTCAAAGTATCGCCGGTGCTTCTCTTCGAATTCAGCCTAAAATAGAAAACTTGAGCATTCAATACCAACTATTTTCACTGAGGATCACAGCATTCTATAACATATTGCGCTACAAATGAATAATAAACCATATAAAAGTAACAAATTTACAGTCCGACTCTACTAAGAGACCATCAGCTTCGAAACATGACTTTTGCGTTCAGGTTAAATTTTTAAATACGAAATGCCAACATCCCCTAAGTATCTATAACCTTAAGCCTGAAAACAATGCAGGAAGAGGAAATTGAAATAACCTTCAAAAAGTAAATTGCATCCAAATTCTCAAACACATTACATTAGAAATACGATTTAGACTCACCACCCCCTTCTGTTCTGCAGAAATCTTCATGCCAAGGTTTGCAAGCTTTGTGCAAGGATCAATTTCTTCTTCAGGAGCTTCCGTCAATGAAACACGTATGGTGTCACCGAGACCATCCTAAATGACAAACTTTCATCAAAATTACTAAAAGTGGCACCTCAGAATAGATGTGCTTAAGTAGAGGTAGTCAAGCAAAAAAGTTAAGGCTCACAATCAAGAATATCCACAAGTGAGAAAACAGTTAAATCTTTGAAAAGAAAATCGCTGGCATACAGGAATGTCACTAAAGAGATAAAGGTTAAACCTGAAGTAAAGCACCAATGCCGATAGCTGACTTCATGCGACCATCCTCTCCCTCTCCAGCCTCAGTAACACCAAGATGTAATGGGTAGTCCCAGTTGTTCACATACATCTCAGATACTAAAAGCCGATATGCTTGAACCATTACGACCGGATTGCTTGCTTTCATAGAAAACAAGAAATTGTGGTAGTCATGTTTGCGGCAGATACGTGCAAACTCAAAGGCTGATTCTACCTGCGAAGCGCACATTTGATGAATTAGCTATTAATATCTCTACAATTTCATGTCAATCAACCCTTTACCCTGTCGATTGCACCGTTGTGAATGTGCGCAGAGAGGACATTATCTAGATTTCACCAAAAACTGAGGTCATGAGGGATCGAAGAATTCATTAAAAATCTAAAAGGATCATGTGGTTTCATGGATGAAGTTCTCCTGAATAACAGCATTACACTCTACAATTAATTCACAACCCATAACAAGACACCGATTTATTTTATTTGCATTTGTAAAGAGACTAAAACTCAAGTTACCCATGACATCCTCAGCTCAAAGCAGATTGCAATGAAATTGTGAAACTAACCATGCCCCTTGGAGAGTCACCATAGTAGCTCATGATGCGATCAGAAAGACTTCCATGGTTTGTGCCTATGCGCATAGCCCTTCCAAGCTTCTTGCATTTCTCTACAAGAGGTGTAAATACCTGATGTACATAAACCCCACACAAAGAGATTAAGTACTAGCAATAAAGCACTTGAATTTCACCACCGCCTCCCCATAAAGTGATAATAAGAAAAAAAATCATCGCCAAAACTGCGATTCTTAGATACCTCTTCAATGTGGCGTAGTTCCTCCTGATAGTCAGCTTCTGTATACTCCAATATCTCAAACTGAGCGCGCCGATCAGCTACAAGAAAGCGAGAGATATTCTCAGATACAAATCTATAGTAAAACCAGAACGTCAAACAAGATTAAAAACTAATTTCTTTTAAAAATGATGAAATTTCTGCGTCAAACTTAACGAAATTTATCAGAGATTTTTAAGCTTTCTAAGTTTTAATCTTAAATTAATGAAATAATAAAAAGAACACATAATAAGTAGTTAAAAGTGACCTTAATAAGACCTTAGTCATCGAGCTTTCCTACTTTGCCGTTGCTTCATGGGCTCTGAAGGAATTAACAGGCAAAGTCGTGAACATAAGAAAGTGTTTTACTGACACACGAACCAAGGCAAATCACTAGAAAACATGCTCACCAAAGTTGCCGGGATTGATACGAATCTTGTCAAAGCAATCCGCAACTTTCATCGCGATAGAAGGCGCAAAATGAATGTCAGCAACCAAAGGTATATTGTACCTGCATCCCTCAACAAGATCAGTGGCAAGCTATCAAGCAAATTCATTGGTTCAGAGAATGGCACGATCGTAAAGTTTCAACATTGCAACTAATTGTCTCACTCCAGAGCTATCCAAGGATAGAATGCTTCCAAGTTACAGAAAAACACTAGTAAAGTGCGCCGATGGCCAAGATGGCATTGGCGAAGTAGTACCCTTTCTGCACAAGAGTGTTCTTGATCTCATAGCAAGCATCGGCCTCTTTCTTCCCTTGAACCGTAATCCGCACAATATCACATCCTCTGTCTGCAATCCTCATTACCTGAGAGGTTCCCGATCAAACAACTTGTCGCGTCAGGACGTGTCATGAAATTAGATCTACTTCTGCTTCAAAATTTCCCCGATATGCTTTACTATATGCACACTAGTAAATTGATGCAAGCTGAATTTCCTGATAAGAACCTGCTCCACAGTGCCCTTCACGTCTTTTGTGTCTGTGGTGGTCATGGTTTGCACTCGAATGGGATGCTCGCTGCCAACGGTCACACCACCGATGCTCACGGTTCTGGTCTTCCTCCTCACAGGCTTGTGAATTGATTCACAATACTTTTGCCGAGGAACTGCTCACACAAAACAATAGAACCGCCAGATGTAGGAACATTTACAGATGAATGATTGAGCACGGACATTTAGTCACAATACCATCTCAATAAATGTGCCCAGGAACATTCCAAAAAAATTACATGAATATATACTGATCCAAATGGTTATGCTTGTAGCATGCTGACAGCATCCAACTTAAAATTCTTGACATAGTTTGTGAACCTGGAATCAGTGGAATGGCAATCCGACATCTCCAGCCTAGAAACTCAATAAATAAACAAAATCGCAAAAATCCACTGATTTCCTAAATGATTTCGACATGCATTCTACAAGTGCCTCCATTAGATATTGTCCTGTTCAAGAGAACAAGTGGTACCAAAGACTATCTTCACCTTTATTAAACCTAATCCCTCCTCGAGCAACACTAGGTTGAAAGTACGCATGCGCACACTGCATTCACTATGAGCATTAAGAGTCCGTTAATTGCGATATAAGAACATCTCGACCTGTATTACGAAGATAAGGATTATCTAAAGCATTCTATTCAAATCTAGCCACAAAAGTTTTGTCACGTATTCATAATTTCGCACGACTCCGAACCGGAGGGAAGGGAGACTATCCAAAGGGACGCTATTACACATTCCACCTAGGTCGCGGGACTTGATGAAATTATGAAAAGAGGTGAAAAGAAGAGGTTTGCGCAACATTTGGATAAACAAAACCCGGTGTTCATGCAAAGATGAGACCCGAATTGTCACCTAAAAGCTGGCTGCCTTGAGACGCAGGTTCCATTTCCACTACTTCGGGTGCCATATTCCGCACCCCAGCAACGCGCACCCTCTGAGCCCGCGACGTCCGACTCCTCTGCACCTTCACCTTCCCTTTCAATTCCACCGCCATAGGTTGCTGCAAACTCCCCGGCAACGAGTCCATCTTCTTTAAGCTCGAAAACGAGCCCGGAATACCAGTAGACATCGTGAGATTCGTGGCAGACATTGCTCCAAACTCAACGAGTTTAAAAAATTCCAAACCTCACCTTCCAACCTCCTCACTACAACCAAAAGCTACTCTCTCTGTCCCCCTCACGCTCTCTCTCTCTCTCTGAACCGCTATCCTACCTAAATGCGACACTCTCCTTCAGAAAAAAGAAAACGAAATATCGCTCCGGAACCGCGACCAAACTTGAGCTCGAAACCAACCACAATGCGAACCGCCACTGCGAAGCCACAACCCCAGGCGCGTCACAGAAAAGCGCTAGACGCAGCCAACGGAGAAAAAGCGTAGCCCGAGCGACTACTTCGCAAAACAGATTTTAAAAGGCTGGTTATAAAGTGATCGCCATCGATAGTAACGAGATTACGGCACCCGTCCTGGCACTGCAAAACCTCGTGAGATGAGGAGGCCAGGCCAGGGCCACTATCATCCGAAATCACCAAACCGTCCACTCAATCATTCCTCTACAATCCGAGACCGTAGCCTAATTGACTGATGTGGTCTTGTCCGGTGTCGACTCGTCTCGTCTTGGCTCGTCTGTTCAGCTGAAGAAAACAGAGACAACCACGCGGGGGGAGCTTCCAGGGTTGGCTGCAATCGAGAGGCCTACGTCCAACGCAGCGCCAACACAGGGATTACGAGATGCGCATCTCGTAATCCCTTACCCGGGCTCTCATTTCCATGTTCCCGAGTATTAACGGAGAGTTGGATAAAAGCGGGCCGGGTGAGAGGGCCCGTTCTGAGTTGCAAAGGATATTCTGAGGGGGATCTGGCGTGGCCCGTGGGGTTCGTTGGGGTTTCGGGGATTAGGCTTTTCTCACTGGGTGGCGCCTTACTGGCCCTGCTCTTGTTATTCTGTGGATAATGTGCCAGCTAGGATCGAACCCCTGATTGGTTGGATGTGAGCCTCTGCTTTCCCTTCCCTTCCCTTCACGGAATGTTTGTGAAAATTGCATCCAGTTGATAACGAATTGCAGAGTTTGGCGTTTGGACATATTGTTGCATGTGTTCTATTAGGCCACCTCTCAGAGCATCTTTTCAATTTTTAATTCTCTTACATTTATTTTTAATTCTCTTATAATATAAATAATAGCTTCAATTAGTGTGACTACAAGAAACTACACGGTAAAGTTCTTTTGTAGATATTGAACTTGTACATATACAAATAAATACTTTTGATATTTTGTCATGAAAATTGATTAGTTTTTTCTTTTATGTACTAAATAAATATAAATACATTCAAAATGAAATTTGAAACTTTTATAAAGAAAAAATAAAAGCCATTTTATAATTATTACTATGTATATTATTCTTTATTTATGCACATTAAAATAGATACACCTATTTTTTAAAAAAAGTGGCACAATTAGTAATGAGCTTCACAACAAGTAACTTTCATATAATTGTAAGTTATTGTAAAGTTGGAAAGTACTTCAAAACAAACTGAGCTTTGATTATTAAGAACTTATCTTAATACTAAGTTCCCTTGAACTTTTTTACTTCTGAACCAAAAACAACTACAATATAGTTTAGTGAAATTGTGTAGTCATTGTGAACAAACAATTAGTGGGTTGGTAATAAGATTCAATATTGACACACACACACACACACATATATATATATATATATATATATATATAATACTACCTTTAACCACCTATCATCCATTCATATGTATGTATGTATATATATATATATATATATATATTAGATTGATTACATATACATATTACTAAAATATGGTAGAAATTCATGAAAATTTTGAAAAACGATTTTTTAGATCTCCAAAAAGAAAAGAAAAAAAAAAAAGAAAAGAAAAAAAAGTCAGTATATTATAATAGACCTTTAGTAAATTATGGTGTAAATTATATTTTTTCTATAAATTCTTTTATGACAGTATTTCTACTTAAGAGATATATTTTCATTTAATTGCTTTTATATTATTTTCCTATATATTTTTCTTTTTTCTTTTTTACAATTCAATGTTTAAATGTTTTTTCTAGTGTGTGTTGGTTGATTGTTATATTGAAAATTAAATTTTCAAAGTGTAAATATCATATTGTTTACGAGAGATTTCATTTAATTAAGTTTGCCCTTATTTAAATTTTTTTTCTGAAACAAGCATAAGTAATATCAAAGATGGTCTGGTAATTATTTTTTTATTAATTTTTGTTTATTTACTTTCAAATACTTGTACCAAAACGATAACAAAATCTTCAAAATAACAAACATTGATACTTTAACTTGGTTTATTATACACATAAAAATACCTGATTTCATTTTTTTTTTTTCTCAAAAATATTATAAATAATTAACTTTTTCTTTAAGGTTACTACTATGTTTTGGATATTGTTTACAAAAATTATTATTTATTTAAATATTTTGTCCTGGGGTTATTTAAATTATATAATATACAAATTATTTAGAAATTCCTAACTATATTATTTAAAGTACATATTTTCAATTCATCTTTTAATATACATTTTTTTATTAAAATTTAGAGGATAAATCATGTATTTGTTACTTTGTGATTGAAGTTCAGATGCATTAAGAAGTGATTCTGTATGGAGATCTTGAATAGCAACATAAATTTGCTTACCTAATTTTTTAAAAATTAGTAATTGCATAAGTAAACAATAGTTAAAAAACATATAGTATTTAAATAAATAAAGTAGGGTTGTTGAATTGACATAAAAATTGTGCATTTTAATTTTTATAGAATTAATATCAATGTGTTTAAAATAAACTCAAAATAATCTTAGCAATATTTGTAACATTCATTCATATAAAATGGTTTGTTTTACACATTTTATATAATTTTACACATCTTACATGTTATATATTTATATTATATTAGAAATAAATATAAATCATATTATTTTATATTCTAAAATTATGGATTAATATATAAGTTATTTTTCTAAAGGTCTTTGATATTTTGTAGAAAAAAACCTTGAACTACCAAAAGAAAGACCAATAAATCATAGTGCTATGATTGTGTTAATTGTATCATATGTTTATTAATTTTAGTAGATATAAGTTTTGTTTTTTTTCATTAATATAACAAGAATAAATTTATCATAAAATTTTTTGAAAGTATTTTTTTTATAATTTTAAATATTAAGTGTAAAAAAAAAATTAAATATAAAAAATAAAATTCAAGAATGGTAGTTGAAATAGTTGTTTGAAGAAGGTCAATCAATCCCAACATATCAAGTCTATTACTTTAATTTGAGAATTGATAATTTCTTTGAATATATATATATATATATATATATATATATATATAATATAATATAATATAATATATTGTAACTTTTTTGCATAACTCTCAATAATTTCATTATTTTATGGCAAATTTTATAAAGAATTGAGAAGAACTATTTTAATTTTCAATTAATAGAATAAATTACCATGAAATCTTCAAGTAAAACCTGCTATTGAAATACAGTTTTTTGATTCTAAGAAATGTTAAGCAAGCATAAAATTGTGGTGGGAAGAAATTCAAATAAGGTGGAGCAATTACATAAAAAGAGAAATAAAAGGATAAACGAAATTTTTATCAGACTAAGCTGTCTTTAATGTATTCAGTACCAACATATTAAAAGAGATATTTTGTTGTAAAATAATACTATTAATGTATATTTGTGTGTATGTTTGTGTACGTGTATATATATATATATATATATATACATACATGCACACCCGTGGTCGTTAAATCAAGTTCTCAGGCACAATTATTCTTTTGTCACAATACTTAGGATATAAAAAATTCCAAGCAAGACTAGATTGTATTGAAACCATCTTTCATTTTCTTTAAAACTTGAGAAACTATACAAGGTTCAGAATATAAAAAGTTTAGGTCTATACTCAAAAGTTTCAATTCTTTTGACACATTCTCGATGCATTCTGAAGACCCTCAAGTATGTTGTTATTCAAATAAGCACATCTATGTTCAAAGTGATTTTCTAAGCAATCAAAAAAGTTTCAATGAACCTTCACAACTCATCCGAATCAATTTTCCCTTTTTTGAATGCTTCCCAAACATTCAAATAACAACCAATTAGCATCAAGTTCTCTGATCATCCAATCAAGTATACACTAAAGAATATCAACAATTTGTATGAATCACTAAAATCACTCAAATCTTACTTGATCACCAACTAGAATGTTCCTAGAACTGCACGCCAGCTTCAAGTTTCACATTGAAAATCAGGTATCTGGGTCACAAGACGAGTAGCAAAAGTAGTGAGTTGCAAAAGCTATTTGTTGGATTAAGAATGAGACGACGAATGCGATGATTTCGATCACAAAGACCTAAAAGAATTCCTCTCAGATCAGACCCCTGTACTTGATTTTCAGGTGGTCTTGGTACATGTGCTTGTTTCGGATCATATCATCTAGATCATGCACTATCTTGAAAACAGCGTCAGGCTGGCCTAACATTTTACACTTCTCCGTCATCTCCTTCAACTTGCTAGAGCTTGCACCAAACCAATCTGCAATAATCTTCGATATTACTTTGGGCTTGTCGCAGAAAGCACCTGCGCCGTTGTCCACAACAAACGAGACGTTTCCAACTTCCTGCAGATGTGAAGAATGGCCACTGTCATGGTTTTGCTTGTACGCAGAGTTCATCAGCTTTTGATCCTACTTGATATGAACAGGACAAGGATGGAGTAGCTTATAATAAACAGAATGAGGGAGACACTAGAAATTGACCTGTCCGGCGATGAAGTCGAATAAAACCATCGGCAGCCCTCGTATCAATGCCTCGGCTATGGTACCAGGCCCTGCCTGCAAGTAGTGTAAAAAAAGGTTCAATTTTACGGTGTAGATTTCGTGACACTAGAAATTCCAGAACACAGCAGGCGGTTTTCCAGGTTGTAGGTGAAGGAGACAATTGAAACACAAAAGTTGCAATAGCCAAGGTTATGACTTGTAAGTCCGAATGCACAAACGTTAGGAAAGCTTAACTAGAGCTCAAGCTAGTCTATTCCGTGGTCAAACACGAGATACTACCTTGGTTATGATGCAGTCGCAAGCTGCCATCCATTCAGACATATTCGTCACAAAGCCATTGATCTGCATATGAAAGTAACAGAGCAACAAACACACAGACTCAGGAAGAAATTTCACAACTGTTTGCAATAGGAATCAAGGCTTGAGTGCGTCTATATTGAATGATGTCATCCTCAGACTCGTTAATAGACAAACTGTTTCCCTTGAGCAAGGGAAACCTATGAACTTTCTCAGGAATAATGGCTAGTGTATTGTACAAGTATGGATAGACTATTGCAGAGAAACAGAAGTTTGAAGCGTTCAGGAGATTCAGTACCTTTACGGGAATGTTCCACTGGATCTTCTGAAGCTTCTTGACAAGGCCTTTGTTACGACCACAGACAACCACAAGTTGACCAAGGGCTTTTCCAGTATTGGCGTCATAAAGTGACTCCCCAAGAGCACGAGCAGTTTGTTCCACCGGGCCCATGCCTTCTCCTCCCCCCACCAACAGCACGGCAGGCAGGTCCTTGTCCATCTCGAGCTCCTTCAGCAATTCATCCTAGAGCAAGAGATATTCAAGCATTTTAGAAGATACGCAATCTAACTAGCATTGTGGACCATGACACGAGTAAAACGTTATCTGAGCTCAAATTCAACGACAGGGTTTAGACTTCAAACCTTGGAGCGAGAGAATGTAGCGAAGGAGGGCCGAATAGGAAGCCCGTGCACACGAATCTGAGACCGACGAAGACCAGCCTCTAGAGCTCTCTTTGCTACTTCCTCTGTGGGACAGAAACAGGCGGTCACAAGCTGATGAAACCTGCCACACATATCTAGTTTTAGAAAAGGCATTTGGAATAATGTTTTGCCGAGGCAGAAGCAAGAACGGTATTTCTGCCCATGCGAGAAGGGTGTTTAGCATATCGTTTAAAACAAGGTGGAATACTGTCGAATTTTCTAAAACATTGCACATGCGACTTCGTAAAAACTTGACTTACCATGTAGGATGGCAAGTGCCTAGATCTGTGATGATAGTTGTGAAGGGGATTTTGTCGAGTAAGCCTCGTAATCGTAGTACTCTTAACGGAACGTGTTGCATCAGGGGGTGCACGCTTACGATAACGTCAGGTTGGTACTTAGCCAAGCCGTTTGCCACCTCTCTGATAACCACACCTTGGGGTAAATTCAGTATCAGAACGACAAATATTCATTCAAGATAAGCACAAGCCATAAGACCAGTCAGATGAAGACTAGCAGTGCAGCTCTTGTAGAAAGTCGTGAGAACAATACCCAATTTCCTTGAACCAAATACCTTGAGATAAACAGAGATGTTGCGCGCATTTCTGATTGATGTACTATTTTGGGCGCGGTGCTGTAAAACGCGAACTTCCATAGAATCTCGTGTTTGACGAAAAAGCTGTAAAGTCGTGGAACTTGGTTGAAAGGCCAGGGAGTGTGCTCCTTCCATAAATCAACAACGTGTACCTGAATAATTTGAACGCAACTAAGACTTAGATTTGGGATCTTGACAATGATCTCAATAAATATAGCATGAACATATTTGTTCATTGAGTAGACTTTATCAAAACGAACATTGCCAGGTGTGACCAGATCATTAAAAAAAAAAAAAAAAAAAAAAAAAAAAACCTAGCGTGTAAACCACTAGTTCTGCAAAAGCGGTCTTTCTTTTCTGAGATACGTTAAGATCCATGAGTAGCAGAAACGGGGAATTCAACGCCAAGACAAAGATTCCTTCGAAAATCGGAAACGGTGAGTGGATGGAAAGAAATTTTTTAAGAAAGAAAAGAGAACCACACACCTTGTATTTGTCTCCATACTCAAGCTCGAAAGTAGCTTTAATAGCTTCGGCAGACGCACGATGGCCCCCTCCCGTGTCACTCATCAGAATCAGCACATTCTTTTGCTTCCTCTTATCCTGGCCCACGGACTGCGTAGTCTCATCCCCGACCTCTTCCATGCGCGCCCCAATACCCTTCCCGTCCGCACCTTCACACAGTTTCCCACCGGACTGACTGATGGATGCCCACGACAACGACGGCACCCTATCACAATGTCTACGAATTGAAGCATTGAAATGCCGAAAAAAGCTCTCCTGAACCCTCTTGCTCGTGGACTGCAAATCGCCAACTGTCACTGTGGCCACGCAGTAACAACCACTGCCGAATTCCTGACGCGGCTGCCTCTCCCGAGAAGCTGGCATCCAACCATCACGACCCTGCGCACATTCAGCTGAAGACCCTACACGTCCATGCCCGCAGCTCCTCGCAGAAACGCTCCCAACGTCACGCAGGGACGAACTCACGGTAGCATGCACAAACCAGGGACTGAGCCTCACAACACTAGCATCGCCAATCCCCGCCAATTCTGCAGGGTACTCCATTGCTCGCGATTTTTCTGTTGCGTAGACAATCCACAGCTCGAGGACCACTCAGAATAGATAGTCCGACAATCTCCGCTCCATGAACTCTACCAGTTCAGACGACAAAGGCGAGCTGACCAAACGCACTGCGGAACTCGCCACGAATCGTACGAGGGACATGTGCGAGGCGAAACACCACCCGACACCTCCGTCACCTTCGTATGCGGTGACAGACAGTGTCCAAGTCCGTCGATGGACGCACCCAGAAACCTTAGGGGAGCGAGATAGCGAGGTGTGGAGGAGGCAGCGCGAGCAGCAGAAAACCGGGGGCAAGAGGGAATTGCGAGCAGGGTGGAGAAGGATTGGCGAGCACCTAATCCAGAGTCAACAACTGGATTGCTGGACAGCAGTACGTCTTTCCCTTCCGGACGAACCCCCGCCGCGCCTCGCTCTCTCGCACGCCCGCGCTGCCTCCCTTCCACGACGGCTGACCTGGCAGCCACGGGGGCATGGGATTGCCAGCGTGGCTCCCTCTGTGTGACACTCTAGTTTCTATCATTCAGTTCGCTTGGCTTGGACCTTCGCCGTCGACAGGGAATTGGGTGTGACCTTTCGGCAGCAGCTTGAGTCGTCTTCACTTCGTTCATTATCCACCTTATTTGTTGATTTTGGAATTTAAGTGAAAATAATAATAATAATAAATAAAAAATCCAAGTGTTTCCAAGTCAAAGCTTACAGTGTCGTGCAGCTTAGTTTTAAATAGTCGTGGACATTCTTTGATTTAGTCTTTGTGTTTTAGAAATGGTTGGCACTTTTGGTTCGTGGTGGACTGCTACTTGTTTGGAGATTTTAACAGGACTCTGATCGTCGGATGCCTTGTTATTATTTTGAAATTTTGGAAAAATCTTAACTTTGATGCCCAGAATGAAACAATAATAATAGTAACATTAGTAATTTTGTTGAAAAAATATGATTGAAGTACGCTACTCAACTTAGTCTGAAACAACTTTAGCCTGCGATTGTTGATTGAAATGGGTTAAAACTGTAGCAATTTTGGAAATATATATTGCATCACATACAAACACCTAACTAAATTGTTCCATCTTATTTTAAAATTTAATCACTAAGTTATCAAATCTTGGCAGTAGGAATGTTTTAAATGTCTTGTTGTAGATATAAATTTTAAACTAGCGCCATTGGCCACAAAAAATATTTTCAGAAAAAATATTTATTAAAAATTACAATCGGAAGCTTGTGAGCTCCATGCATATTAATCTTGGAGTATTATGCTTGGCAATCTACACTAACAATATGCAAATTCTAATCTTTGATTGATCAAAAGTTGAGTCATTGCTTCACTTATACTTCACTTTTGATGAAAAAAAATGAAAAATGCAACCAATTAGAGATGGTTTTTGTCTCTTCTAGTTTATCCCATTGGTTTATCATCCCATGAACTATTCTATATAAGAGATATGACATGCAAATTTTGATGAGAAGCATGTTATGTTTAACTTTAATTGTTGTTAGTCTTTGATATTCATCCTAATATTATATTAGACCTAATTAATTATATTACATTCAATTATACTTATCAATTTAATTTCTCTTTGGAATGCAATTTGGACATATCCTACTTGTAAATACAAGATGGCTTATTGAATATTATGTTGATATATTTGTTGATTGCATGAAAGAAATTATAATAATAAAATTTTAAAAATATTTCCTTTTGTTTAAGAATGTTGAATCACAATGATTAGTTTCAAAAGTGAATAATTATTACATGATACCATATTTTATGATTAAAAATTAATATTTTCTATCTTCATTTAAAATTTAAAATGTCAAAAAAAAATTTATATTGTGATTACTACCTTTAAGTATGAAAACATTTTTGCATCTAAATAAATGAATATACAACTATTCATAATATAATATCAAGAATATAAATATTAAAAATAAAAATATTTGAATTATATGAGTTTGAACAGTGGTTAATGCTACCATCAAACTCTAGCATTGTCATGTGTTATTGATCCTATATATAGTATACATATATCAGTACTATGGATAATATCAATGTCAATAAATTTTAGTAAAAGCCATGATATTGAAGGATGTCAATATAATAAAATAAAATAAAATAAAAAAACTATTACTAACTAGTTGTAGCATCATCACAAATTTAAGATAGAAGGAATGATTAGAAAAAATTTATGCATTATAAACAACTTTGAAAGGATATACTCTCTTTCTTTTTTTCAAAATTTGGATGTTGAGCCATTAATATTGTAAAATACAACAAGTTTGTTTGTCACATTTTGTAAGCATTCTAGCTTGGTAGAATTATTTCATATTTTGTACTCAAATGAATAAAAGAAAGAACATTAGTTCATTGAGATTGACATCCTTGTAAATTTAATTGTATTGTGTAGAAGTACCATATCAAAGGAAGTATTTATATCTTGGATGCATTAGTCTATTATTATTATTATTATTATTATTCCGCAATATGCCATTAGCTAGCATAACTCATAGACAAATATTTTGGCAATCATATTGAAGATGGTTATTTCATTTAAGACAATAGATGCAATGAATGATAGACATGGCTATTTACTTAGAGGTATAACTCAATAAACCACCAATATTATAGAGTATGGCTTCAAAAGAAGATATTTCTATAAAAAAAGATTATAAAAGAAAATTACTTCTCAACCTTATAAAATTATTAAAAAAAGCTTAGAAGAAGAAGAAGAAGAGTTTAATAGGAATCTTTTGAAATAGATAAAATACCAAATTTTGTTTTGAATGTTACAAATGCAGATATGGATGCAAAGATCTAAGAACTAGTAGTAATTGGTTCTAAGAAGATTTATAAACTTTACTTCAAGAAGGATTAATTTTATATGCATGTCACTTCATTACACAAAATAGTAGATGTTACTATACAAATTTTTAAAGGACTAAGTGATATTATTAGTCAAAATATAGGGCCACTAAAGTTGATACAACAACTGCCTATGTGTAATATATGCAATTATCAGCATCAACTGCTTTGTAGATGGGATCTTTAAAATCCAAATAATTACCTTGCAAAAAAAATATCAAACAAAATAATAGTATTATAGCCAAATGAAATTTATTACAATGCCTTTGAATAAAATTAATAACTGCATACAAACAATGGTTGTTAAAACTATGAATCCACTCAACATTACCTTAAAAATTATCCAACATAGAAATCACAATAGTTGCCATTTCTAGCAAGAAACAAATTTTACAGAGACAATGTTATAAATTCTAAGTTGAAGGATATAAATACAAGCATTTAACTATTTTTATGATAATAAACTGATAACAAAAAGACTAAGATTTGAAAACATTAAAATATTAAGTAGAATTTTGAAAACCTTTTTTTGTAATATTGAGAGAGACTACATTGTTGTAATATGTGAAGTCTTACTCAACAATGCATCGGACACCTGACTGTGGAAGATAGAATAGAAATTGCAACAAAAAAAATCTTAACTCTAATAGAACACTAAATAAATTCTAATTAAACTATAACAATACTAAGTAAGCTTTAATCAAATTCAAAAGAAACCTTAAAGAAATTACAAATGAAATAATAAGAAATCTTAAAAGAATTAAAAAAAAAATCTACAATAAACCTTAAAAATATCCTTAAGAAATTCTAAAGAAATATAAGAATAATCACAAATATATCTTAAATAGATCACAATCAAATCCTAGTTTAATCTAAATTAAAATGCTAATGGACTTCAATCAAATCCTAAACTCTAAACCAAATCTTAAATAAATCTTAAATCCTAAACTCAACCCTAATCAAATCTTAAAGCTTAAATCAAATCCTAAATAAATACTAAATCTTAAACCAAATCCTAACCAAATCCTAGACAAATCCCAAATCCTAACCAAACTCTAGTCAAATCCTAAATTCTAAACCAAATCCTAATCAAATTTTAAATACTAAATCAAATCTTAATTAAATCTTAAATCTTAAATCAAATCTTAATCAACTTCTAAATCCTAAATCAAATCCTAAACCAAATCCTAGACAAACCCTAAATCTTAAATCAAATTCTAACCAAATCCTAACTTTAAACCAAACCTTAATCAAATCCTAACCAAATCCTATACAAATTTAAAACCCTAAAAAAATCCTAGTCAAATCCTAAATCCTAAATCAAATCGTATCCAAATCCTAAGGTAGTTTAGAACCTCAATATCTTTTGATTAAACTATTGATCTTGTTTAAAAATTTACATACCTGTCAATCTCTTAGTTATAAGTAAGTACAATAAATTTGAAGATAATCGTACTTACAAAATGGAAGAAAAAATCCTAAAATCTGCACAAATGTTGGCCGGCCTCCTTCTCCAACCTTGATGCTGATCTTCTAGTACTAACATCTTCCTTTTGTATCATTTAATTGATTTTAAAATTTTCATATACATAGAAAAATAAGTCTACTAACTACATATATAACTTTTATTCTAATCCAATTGATAGATTGCAAGAAATTTTAGAAATTCTTATTGAACCTAAAATTCTACTTTTCAAGATCTCAACCTACTTAAATCTTAATAATCTTGAATTCAATAGTTAGATCAAGCTAAAATTCGTAATACATATTAAATACAATTATAATCATTAATCTACAAAGTTTTAGCAATAGATTTGCTACAAAACTCCTGCAATTGTCCAAAATGTCAATCCTATTTTATTTCATAAAATCCCAAGTCATCTGAAACAAACTTGATTTTGTAAAGCTCTTACAAAGTCATTAAAAATCCAATTTATACAAAACCAATGCTCATAAAAATCCTATCAAGACTACTATCAAATTCCACTCTTCAATCTACAAAAGAATCCCGAGGTCAGTGTGGATGTGCAGTTTTGTGCCTCAGGGTCTAATTTCAATCCAAGTTAACAATTGGTCCTTTTAAGGTATCAATTTTTGGCTTTTTGAGATAATTTTTACTAAAATCTATTCTTAATTCTCTCTTACACATGCTTATATCATTTAATTTTCTAATTTACTTTATTTTTTCTTATTTATGGCCCTAAAAAGTAAATAGAAGTCTATTTTATAAAAGGCAATATTAATACTTTTTACTTTTACTACCCTTTTTACTATTATTTATATTTCTAAGATAATTTACTATAATATTTTGAACTAAGATCTTCTATAATATAATAATTTTTACACTCTTTCATCTATTAGCCATATTACATTATGACAATGTAACTTTAGAATAATAATATAAGAAGAATTTAAAACAGTACAATTGAGTATTCAAAATTGGGACAAAATCTTAGATATTACAAAAGTTACTATAAAATTGGATAAATTATT